CAGCAGGAAGTAACGCTCGTGACCCTGTCCACGGACGCGGGCTGGGCCCCACACGTCCATGTGAAGCGTCTGCAGCGGAGCCTCTGTCGGAGGGAACTCGGAGGAGTGAGGAGCAGCGCGGTGCCGCCCCTCGACGCAAGGAACGCAGGTGGGGGCAGGCCCCGGAGGAAGGGGAGGGAGGGACCGGGGGAGACCAGAGACAAGGACACGGGAAGCCATGCCTCGAAGACGAGGCAGGGAGGGGTGACCAAGGCGGTGGTGCCAGAGGAGAGTCTGGTGAGACAGGAGACGACACGAGCAGGGGGCAGACTCAGGGTCAGACCTGGACGCCGCAGCAAACACCCGACCCGACGCGGCTACCTGAGCAGACTCAGCGACTGGAGGAGACTCAGTAGTCAGTGTGTACAGGCTCGACCCCGGCCGACGGGTAAACGTGGCCAAGTGACGGCCCGTCCGAGCACAGGTACAGTGGGTCGCTCGCTGAGTCGCAGGAGTGAACTGGTGAACCCCTGCATCCTGGAGGTCAGCACCACTCACCAAGTTCGAGGGGAGGTAAAGACCTGACAGGGTGCCAGAAGGGGCCGCCGGACACGGTAGGACAGTGGAGAAGTGAGCAAGGACAGGACCCCCAGAGGGGTCTGCCAAGGAGACTGCCACTGGCCGACTAAGCGGCGTGAGTGTGGTGCGGTCTCGAAAGAAGGAGCGGGAAGCACCCGAGTCAAGGGTGAAGGTGTGGGTGGCCAGAGCCGACGTGGTACCTGAGAGCGCAGACTCACCAGCACCTGGGGCAGCAGACTCACTGGCACCTAGAGCAGCAGCCTCACCAGCACCTAGAGCAGCAGCCTCAATGCCCGGGTCAGGCGGAAAACACCGGTAACAGTCACCCTCATCACTAATAGTCACAGCATACATGGCAGCAAGAATAGCATCATAATCAAGATCAAAGATCGCAACACCCGCCCTTAACAGCTCGCCCCAGCGAGGGATCTCAGTAGCGTCGGGGAACTGGTGACGCCAAGCGTCCGTCAGACGGCCGAAGCAGCGCTGGGTGGAGTGCGGACCCCCACACTGCCCACCCGCGCGGTCGCCGGTACGGAGAACGTAGGTACAGGGGCCAGCACCCCCACCCCGCTGACGAGCAGTGTACCACTCACGAAGCTGCTGGGGGGAGGGGGTCTCACGAGTGCGCTGCTGCTGCTGCTGCTGGCGCTGACCACCACCGGAGCCGACCCTCTGCGCAGAGCCGCCCCGACCAGCTCCACCTCCGCCGCCGCTACCTCCACCACCGCCTCCACCTCCGCTACCTCCGCTCGCACCGCCACCACCGCTGCCTCCTCCGCCTCCACTGCTGCCACTAGTGCCCCCACCCCCGCCACCACTCCCACCTCCACCCCCACCCCCTCCTCCGCCTCCACCGCCTCCTCCACCGCCCCCGCCAGCTCCTCCAGCTCCCTTGCCGCCCTTGCCCTTGCCTGAGCGGCGTCTCCCGCTAGGGGCAAACGCCGCGCCGACCGACTCAAGACCAACGAGGTCGGCCGCAGCAGCAGAGGCAACAGAGGGCAAGAGGGGGGAGGGGGAGCACCCCTCAAAGACAGGGGTACGAGGGTCACCACGGGAGGCTCCTACAGCGACTATACCCTTCTCTGCTGCTAGGAGGCGCTCCTCGAGGAGGTCAACGGTGAGAGTGGTGGGGCAGACAGAGAGGAAGTTTTCCCTAACTGAACGAAGGGTGTCAGGGAGCCGGGTGACTATGTAGTAGAGGGTGATGTACATAGGGGGGGGGTTCTTGGCGCAGACTTCAGCAGGAAGCGCAGCGCGGTAGCGAATGTCACTAGTGCGAAGGTGCGTAATGAGGTCAGCGACTGTGGGAAAAGCGGCGAGGTCAGGGAAGAGGTACGGCAGTATGAGGCGGCTAAGAGCAGCAGTGGCAGGGGAAGAGTAGCGGGCAACTACAGCATCGTACAAGGTCTTAGCACTCTTGTACTGACTAAAATGCGCGCGCTCAGCGGTCGGTAATTGGCGGCGCACAGCAAGGCGGGCAGCAGCATCGCGCGTGGCCCACTGTGAGCGAACAGTGGCGTCAGCATCAGCAGCAGGGGCAGGGGAGGCACCAGAAGTGAGGTCAAAGAGGGAGAGACCGTCTGCCCTATCGCACTGTAGGAAAAGCTGCAGGTCATCTACCCAGACCTCAAAGTCAACAGCCCTACCCTCAGCGTCAAAGGTGAGAACACTAGGGGTGGCCATGACAGCAGTAGAGAGGCAGTGAGCACAGTGGGGTAGGGCAGTGCAGTGGTAGAGGCGCTGCTCTTACCAGGCAAGTGAGGCGCTCCGGGGCAGGCTGGTAGGCGGCGGCGTCTCAGCTGCAATGCGGTTCGGCGGCTCGGCGGCTCGGCGGCTCGGCTGCTCGGCGGCAACGGCGGCTCGGCGGCAGCGGCGGCTCGGCGGCAAAGGCGGCTCGGCGGCTCGGCGGCAAAGGCGGCCCGGCAGCTCGGCGGAAAGGGCGGCTCGGCAGCACGGCGGCAAGGGGCGGCGACGGGGCCGCTGAAAGGGGCTGCGACGGGGCCGCGGAAGGGCGGCTACGGGGCCGCTGAAAGGGCGGCGACGGGGCCGCTGAAGGGGCGGCGATGGGGCCGCTGGAATGGCGGCGACGGGGCCGCTGAAGGGCGGCGACAGGGCCGCTGTGGGGCGGCGACGGGGCCGCTGAAAGGGGTGGCGACGGGGCCGCTGTGGGGCGGCGACGGGGCCGCTGTGGGGCGGCGACGGGGCCGCTGTGGGGCGGCGACGGGGCCGCTGAACGGGGCGGCGACAGGGCCGCTGTGGGGCGGCGACGTGGCCGAGGGGAGGAGGGGGGCGGCGACGGGGCCGCAAGGGCGGCGTGACGGGGCCGTGAAGGGCGAGCGGCTGTGAGGGGCCGCGAGGGCGGCGCGACGGGGCCGGGAGGGCGGCGCGACGGGGCCGCGAGGGGCCGCAAAGGGGCCGCGAGGGCGGCGTGACGGGGCCGCGAGGGGCCGCAAAGAGACCGCGAGGGCGGCGCGACGGGGCCGCGAGGGGCCGCTAAGGGGCCGCGAGGGCGGCGCGACAGGGCCGCGAGTGCGGCGCGACGGGGCCGTTAGGGGCCGTGAGAGGGGCCACAATAGGCCACTGAGAGGAGGCACAGGGCGCGACTCGGGCAGGGGCTAAGCGCGCTCCGGGCAGGAAAAAAAAAACTTGCTATTTGGTGGGCCCTAGGAACAGTTCCCACGAGGGAACCTGCTCGATACCATGTGGAAATTGGAACGAGAATGATTGCATTGAGCAGCATGAGGAGTACAAGTACCAAACCCTAAAGTGTTGTACCCCATATAAGCTACCCCACTACAGCCTACATAGACTATAGCATATGAGTTTGACACATTCGCCCCTTCACACCACATTCGCCCCTTCACACCACATTCGTCCTATCACAAGAGGGGTTCGCACTTCGCCCTGACACAACGAGTCAACCTGTCACAGCAGTGATCCATGCACTGTCACGGCAGAGATTCCCTTCCCACCACTGGAAATCGCGATATGCTATGTTTCGATTTCAGACGAAACAGAAAACACGTGTCTGATAGAACAGATAGAACCTACCGTATTCTCCCGGACATAACACCCGGGGGTATTATGATAACCACAGGGAAAAAAGGGGGGGGGGTCCTCTCAACGGAAAATCCTATATAATACCCGGGTGGTTATATATGGTATATTTTAATGCAACAGTTTGGGTGTTTCAATGGTCGTTTCAATATCACAGTTTGAGGCGATGTGAGTTTTGGCGAGAATGTGAGTTTCACCTTTCAGGCCAATTGCAGCGGAAGATTTGCCAGGGTGGCGACTTCCTAGAATGTGGGATGGGGGAAATGTCCACTTGCAGCGAAAGATTTGCTAGGGTGGCGAGGCGACAGCGAGATTGTGGGAGGGGGAAATGTCGGCGGATTCTAAGTGCAAGTACACGCGAAATTTCATCTAGGAAGCGATTCTCGCAATATTCTCCTGTAAGGAATCAGACTCGATAACAGCTATAATAGGAATCCGTAAGAAAAGGGGGGTGTTATAGAAAATCATCCAAAAATGGGGGTATAGTAGAAACGAGGTCGCCCATAGCACCCACCCCGCACAAGCTACCCGGGGGTGTACTATCATGGGGGGGTGTTTTGTCCGGGAGATTACGGTAAAACCATTTTTGACCCATCAGACGGCATAATAAACCCATTTCTTGAAAATCAGATGAGTGAAAAAAAATCTGTCTGATTTCTCAGAAAAACAGACAAAAATGTCTGATAGCGAGGGCCCTGCTTGTTTTCAACAATGTACACTACCGGTACATGGCATGAAGTGACTGTTGTACCGGCATGTAGAAGCACGGACTAGGTAAGGAACTTTCCCAGGATCACGAAAGAGAGAAGTTATGTTTTGGGGCACGAACTTAAAGAATACGGAGTTAGGGCATGTTCCTACGGCCCCTTGTCAGGGCATCCTCTTATCAGCTTCGCATATTTGTTGTACGCACGTTATAGAACGCCTCTTGTCAGGCTTGTACCGTGAACGCGCACGAATGAAATCGATCGCACCATGTCGCTCAACAACGCGGAACCCACTGTGCACGTCCACAGAATCGCGTAAGCGTCAAAGCATGAGTCTCGCCCGTCACTTTAACCTGCGCACGACTGTGACGTGGCGAATGTGCAACGGGAAGCTTACGTGCTCATTTTTCACGATTCCCAACATTTATCTCAATTCCCGCCACACAGCCATCCAGTGCTCCAGCACGTTCGACACGTTCCACAAACCACAGCAAACAAGGAACCAACAACAACATCGAAGTGCATAGATCTGTCAAAGCATACAAAACCGTGACATAGATTAGGGACATTATCATCAATCTTCAGCAGCTAGCCATGGCACGCAAACGCAAAGGATCAGTTCGCCCAGCAGACGACGAAGGTTGGAGTGTGGAGGACCTAGCCTATGTCAAATGGATGAATGCCGAAATCGCGGCCGGAAAACCAACCGCCCGTCCGTTACGTAGCGTGGGAGCCGCGAGCTCAACCCCGAAGCAAGCGACAGTCTTGCCCCGTGAATACGACACGGACGACGAATACATTGAGAAGGATTCGGACGATGAGGACGATGCTGCCGGCTCCGATCGCGACGATGCCGTTGCCGCCTGGCACGGCATCGCTGAATACAACGGCCCTGATCAGGACGATGCAACAGCTGCTCAAGCCGATCACGATCAATCTGCGGCTGCCTCGCGCTCTGACGGGAAGCGGAAGGGAAAGTCTGCAGTGCGCAGCCCTGCTAAGGTGAACAGCAGCCCGGGGCCTGGCGCTCGTATTGAGTGGACGCTGAAGGAGTCGACCATCCTAGTTGCAGCTCGTTGGTTCACGAAGGACGAGCTGCAGCAGATGACTGGGAAGCAAGGCTCCCAATACTGGCTGCGTCTCTGCGAGCACATTAAGCTCCAGCACCCCGACTGGAGCCGCAACGCTACCGCGTGCACCAACCAGTGGAAACGGTTGAAGGCCTTGTGGAAGCAGGTGACGAAGGGGGACTCTGCGTCGGGTGGGGCAACTGTCATCAAGCCCCCGTGGTGGGAGTGGATGGTCCTTTTCTATAAGGACACTGCAGCGGCGGACCCGCACGCACTGGATGGTGGCGGTGCTGACGACGTTACCGTCGATCCAGGCCTGAACATCCCTAAGCCCGCGAAAACCGACGCTACGACTACAACATGTGAGTTATTCAGAACGGGGATGTGACTAAGTTGTAGTTCACCGTTTGCTACTGAACCAAAGTACACAATCACCCTCGCGATTTCAAACAAGGCATTTCAAATTGTGTACACTTTTTCCACCCCAATGCCTATGTGCCTGCAGGCCGCGGCACACCCCCGAGCGCAAAACGTCGCATCAACGAGACAGCAACTATGGCGGCTGCTCAACTTTTGGCCGACACTCTCACGCGATGCTCAGAGGAGGGTGTCTCCCAGATCACCGGAGTAATCCGGGAGTGGATGGCAAGCCAGCAGTCTCAAACTAGTCGCCCGCTTCGCTTCTCCCGCGGACGTGCTGGCGGTGACAACGCATGGCCGGACGCAGACAATGCCACGCTCAGCGACGAGGTTGAGGAGTGGCGGTGCTGACGACGTCGTTTAAGGTATGCGTCATGCAGTGCCATTCCGAGCCTTTTACGGCGTTCCTTCAGTTCGAACGGCGTGACTGTCAGAACATATATATATAGCTTATGCTGTTGTGTAGGCTATAGTGGGGTATCCCATAGGGGGTACAACCCAATTAGGGTTTCCCATATGTACTCACTTCATTCATAGTTCATTCATTCTCGTTCTACTTTTCTCATGGTATCGAGCAGGTTCCCTCGTGGGAACTGTTCCTAGGGCCCACCGTTTTTTTTTTCCTGCCCGGAGCGCACTCTGCCCCTACCCGGGTCGCGCTCCCCTCTCTCTTGGCCCCTAGTGGCCCCTTTAGCCGCCCGTCACGGCCCTTAGCCGCCCGCGCGCCGCCCGTCCCGGCCCCTTAGACGCCCGCGCGCCGCCCGTCCCGGCCCCTAGACGCCAGTGCGCCGCCCGGCCCGGCCCCTAGACGCCCGCGCGCCGCCCGTCCCGGCCCCTAGACGCCCGCGCGCCGCCCGTCCCGGCCCCTAGACGCCCGCGCGCCGCCAGTCCCGGCCCCTCGACGCCCGCGCGCCGCCCGTCCCGGCCCCTCGACGCCCGTGAGCCGCCCGTCCCGGCCCCTAGACGCCCGCGCGCCGCCCGTCCCGGCCCCTAGACGCCCGCGCGCCGCCCGTCCCGGCCCCTCGACGCCCACGCGCCGCCCGTCCCGGCCCCTAGACGCCCGCGCGCCACCCGGACCGAGCCCTAGACGCCCGCGCGCCGCCCGTCCCGGCCCCTCGACGCCCGCGCGCCGCCCGTCCCGTCCCCTCGACGCCCGCGCGCCGCCCGTCCCGGCCCCACGCCGCCCTACCTGCGGCCCACTCACCGCCCTACCTGCGGCTCGCCCGCCGCCCTAACTGCGGCCTGCCCGCCGCCCCACTTGCGGCCCTACCGCCCCCCTACCTACGGCCCGACCGCCGCCCTACCTGCGGCCCAACCGCCGCCCTACCTGCGGGAGCCGCCTAGCAGCAGAACCGCCGGGAGCCGAGCCGCCCTGCCGCCGAGCCGCCCGGGAGCCGAGCCGCCCTGCCGCCGATTCGCCCGGGAGCCGAGCCGCCCTGCCGCCGAACCGCCCGGGAGCCGAGCCGCCCTGCCGCCGAGCCGCCCGGGCGCCGAGCTGCACTGCCGCCGAGCCGCTGAGCAGCCGAGCCGCCCTACTGCCGGGCCGCCCGACCTGCCCTGTCCGGTGAGCACAGCCCCACTGTCACTGCGTGCCCTTCCCCTACTGCTTGCACTGCTCGTCTGTCGTCGTCATGGCTACCCCTAGCGTCCTCGCTTTTGACGCTGAGGGTCGAGCCATTGACTTTGAGGTCTGGGTCGACGACCTGCAGCTGTTCTTACAGTGCGATAGGGCGGACGGTCTTTCCCTCTTTGACCTCACCTCTGGCGCCTCTCCTGCCCCTGCTACTGATGCTGACCCCACTGTTCGCTCTCAGTGGGCCACCCGCGATGCTGCTGCACGTCTTGCTGTGCGTCGCCACCTGCCTACCACTGAGCGCGCGCACTTTAGTCAGTACAAGAGTGCTCAGACCTTGTACGACGCTGTAGTTGCGCGCTACTCTTCCCCTGCCACTGCTGCCCTGAGCCGCCTCATGCTACCGTACCTCTTTCCTGACCTTGCTGCCTTTCCCACCGTCGCTGACCTCATTACGCACCTCCGCACTAGTGACACTCGCTACCGCGCCGCCCTTCCTGCTGAGTTCTGCGCCAAGAACCCCCCCCCCATGTACATCACTCTCTATTACATCGTCACACGCCTCCCTGACTCCCTTCGCGTAGTCAGGGACCACTACCTCTCGGTCTGTCCCACCACTCTCACTGTCGACCTCCTCGAGAAGTCCCTCCTGGCGGCGGAGAAGAGCATCGTCGCTGTAGGAGCCTCTCGTGGTGACCCTCGCACCCCCATCTTTGAGGGGTGTTCTCCTTCCCCCCTGCTGCCCTCTGTTGCCTCTGCTGCTGCTGCCGACCTGCTTGGTCTTGAGTCGGTCTGCGCGGCGTCTGCCCCTAGCGGGAGACGCCGCCCTGGCAGGGGCAAGGGGGGCAAGGGCGCGGGTGGAGCTGGCGGGGGCGGTGGAGGAGGCGGTGGAGGCGGAGGAGGGAGTGGGGGTGGCGGTGGGAGTGGTGGCGGGGGCGGTGGTGGAGGTGGCAGCAGCGGAGGAGGAGGCGTCGGTGGCGGCAGCGGTGGGAGCGGAGGCAGCGGTGGTGGTGGAGGTGGAGGCAGCGGTGGCGGAGGGGGTGGAGCTGGTCGGGGTGGTGCCCCGCAGCGTAGCGGCCCTGGTGGTGGCCAGCGTCAGCAGCAGCAGCAGCAGCAGCAGCGTTCGCGGGACATCCCCCCGCCCCACCAGCTCCGTGAGTGGTACACGCAGCGTCAGCGGGGTGGGGGTTTTGGTCCATGCACCTACGTCCTTCGTTCCGGTGACCGAGCGGGTGAGCAGTGTGGGGGTGCGCACCCCACTCAGCGCTGCTTTGCCCGCCTGACGGACGCTTGGCGTCAGCAGTTCCCCGAGGCCAGTGAGATTCCCCGTTGGGGAGAGCTGTCTAGGGCTGGCGTAGCTGTCTTTGATCTTGACTTTGATGCTATCCTTGCTGCCATGTATGCTGTGACTATTAGTGAGGAGGGTGACTGTTACCAGTGTTTCCCGCCCGACCCGGGCATTAGTACTGCTGCGCCAGGTACTTCTGCGGCTGCTGCTCTAGGTGCCAGTGCGTCTGCACTCTCAGGTACTGGTGAGGCTGCGCTCTCAGGTACTGCGTCGGCTTCGGCCTCCCTCACCTTCACACTTGACTCAGGGGCTTCTCGCTCCTTCTTTCGAGACCGCACCACACTCACGCCGCTTGGCCGGCCGGTTGCAGTCTCCCTGGCTGACCCCTCTGGGGGTCCTGTCCTCTCTCACTTCTCCACTGTCCTCCCGTGTCCGGCTGCCCCCTCGGGCACCTTGTCTGGTCTGTACCTCCCCTCGTTCTCGACGAACTTGGTGAGTGGTGCTGACTTGCAGGATGCGGGGGTTCACCAGTTTACTCCTGCGAGTCAGCGGGTGACCCACTGCTCGGATGCCCGCACAGGCCGACACCTGGCCACGTTCTCGCGTCGGCCAGGGTCGAGTCTCTACACACTGACCACTGCGTCTCCTCCTGTCCCTGCGTCTGGCCAGGTAGCTGCGTCGGGTCAGGTGTTTGCTGCTGCGTCCAGGTCTGGTCCTGAGTCTGCCCCCTGCTCGTGTCGCCGCCTGTCTCACGAGACTCTCCTGTGGCACCACCGCCTTGGCCACCCCTCCTTGCTTCGTCTTCGGGGCATGGCTTCCCGTGTCCTTGTCTCTGGTCTTCCCCGGTCTCTCCCTCCCCTCCCTTCGGGACCCGGACCTTCTTGTGTCCCCTGTGTCGAGGGGCGGCTTCGGGCTGCCCCTCACTCCTCTCAGTTTCCCCCGACAGAGGCTCCTCTGCAGACGCTTCACATGGACGTGTGGGGCCCCGCCCGCGTCCGTGGGCAGGGTCACGAGCGCTACTTCCTGCTGGTGGTTGACGATTACTCGCGTTACACCACAGTCTTCCCCTTGCGCAGCAAGGGTGATGTCACTGCGGTGTTGATCGACTGGATCCGCGCAGCTCGTCTCCAGCTCAGGGGGAGCTTCGGCTCGGACTTTCCTGTTCTGCGTCTGCACTCTGACCGAGGTGGAGAGTTCTCCTCTGGCCTTCTGCGAGCCTACTGTCGTGCACGAGGCATCCGCCAGACCTTTACGCTTCCGGACTCTCCACAGCAAAATGGGATTGCTGAGCGCCGCATTGGCATGGTCATGGACGTCGCTCGTACGTCCATGATGCATGCGGCTGCCCCCCATTTTCTGTGGCCGTTTGCGGTTCGGTACGCGGCGCATCAGATCAACCTTCACCCCAGGGTCTCCCGGCCGGAGACCTCCCCAGCTCTGCTGTGGACGGGTAAGGTCGGCGATGCGTCTGCGTTCCGTGTCTGGGGATCTCGGGCGTTTGTCCGCGACTTGTCTGCGGACAAGCTGTCCCCTCGTGCTGCTCCCTGTGTCTTCCTCGGCTTCCCCCCTGACGCTCCAGGGTGGCAGTTCTACCACCCCTCCTCTCGTCGTGTTCTGTCCTCCCAGGACGTCACGTTCGACGAGTCAGTCCCCTTCTACCGCCTCTTCCCCTACCGCACTCCTTCCCTCCCCCCGCCACCGCACTTCCTTGTGCCAGGTCCCCCCCCGGTAGACCCCCTTCCCCCTCAGGGTCCTGCCCCTTCAGGTGTGTCCCAGGTAGACGCAGTCGAGCCGGTCGAGGTTGCTGGTGACTCTGGTCCTGCTGCGGGTGCTGAGCCTGGGGGTGCTGAGTCTGGGGGTGCTGAGCCTGGGGGTACTGCGACTGGGGGTGCTGAGCCTGGGGGTGCGGAGTCTGGGAGTGCTGAGCCTGGGGGTGCTGCGACTGGGGGTGCTGAGCCTGGGGGTGCGGAGTCTGGGGGTGCTGAGCCGTGGGGTGCTGCTACTGGGGGTGCTGAGCCAGGGGGTGCTGCGTCTGGAGGTGCTGAGCCTGGAGCTGCGGAGCCTGCGGCCACTGGACCTCCCCTTGTGGCGTCTGGCGGTGCGGGACCTGGCGGTTCTCCGGGTGCTTCGCCTCGGCGGGAGCCCCTCTCTCCACAGGAGCTGCGCGAGTGGTTTGCCCGGCGCTGGAGGCGTGCTGCTGGAGCTGGAGGTTCTTCGGCTACTGAGGGTGCTGGTGCCGCGGGTCCCGGAGGTGCTGGAGCTGGAGCTGCTGAGGGCGTTGGTGCTGAGGCTACTGCTGTCGGTCCTGGAGGCGGTCCTGCTGGGGGTGCTACTGGTGCTGCTGGAGGTCCTGGAGCTGGAGGTGCTACTGGCGCTGGTGCTGCCGCTGGGGGTACTGGTGCTGTCCCTGCTGTGTCTGGAGTCGTCGCGCGGCCTAGACCGTACTTCGTTCCGCTCCTTCAGCAGGTTCTTGGTCTCCCGCCTTCTACTGGTCCTCCTCCTCCCTTAGAGTGTCCACAGCCTGTTCTGTCACAGTTACAGTTACAGCCGGCCTCCCCACTGCCCGCTCCTTCTCCCTACACTGGTCCTACTGGAGGTCTTGCTGAGCGTCGTGAGCCTGCGTCTCGCCCTGCGTCGCCTGTCCGTGCTGCTCGCACTAGTGGTCGTGGTTCGCGTCAGCGTCCTCCTCCTGTCCCTGGCACGCACCGGATGTCTCTGCGTCCGTCCACTGCTCCTCTGCGTGCCCCTTTGCCTTCTCCTCCTGAGTCCTCTCTTCCTGCTCTTCCTGACCCGGAGTCGGACTCTCTTCGTGCTGCCAGTCCTGCTGTCACACGTCTCCTTGCTACTGTCGTCACTGACCCCTCTTTTGAGTCCACTGCTGCGTCTGCGCTTGTTGCTGAGCTCGTCGACTTTGCTGCTCGCTGTCGTCTAGACTACGCTGCCGGTCTTGTTGCTGAGTCTGCGTCTGTCTGTCCTCCGTCCGTCGGGGGTGAGTGTGCTCTTGGCACGGACGTCCTTGAGGACAGGCAGGAGGAGTTCAGGTGTCTGGCTGCTGCTTCACCTCATCTCGCGTCCGTACTACTTGCCCCTGAGGGAGACCCGGATGCACTAGACATCCCGACTCCGCGCTCTTACGCGGAGGCCGTAGAGGGTCCCTACTCCTCTCAGTGGCAGGCAGCTATGGATGCAGAGATGGCGTCCTGGAAGTCCACAGGCACCTACGTTGACGCGGTTCCCCCTCCTGGGGCGAACATCGTCAGTGGCATGTGGATCTTCAGGGTGAAGCGGCCGCCGGGCTCTCCACCTGTCTTCAAGGCGCGGTACGTCGCTCGTGGCTTCAGTCAGCGGCAGGGAGTTGACTACTTTCAGACCTTCTCTCCCACCCCGAAGATGACCACTCTTCGGGTGCTGCTGCACATAGCCGCTCAGCGCGACTACGAGCTCCACTCTCTTGACTTCAGTACTGCTTTCTTGCAGGGTAGCCTGCACGAGGAGATCTGGCTGCGCCGTCCACCTGGCTTCACTGGGACTTTTCCTCCTGGCACCCAGTGGAGCCTCCGACGGCCAGTCTACGGTCTCCGCCAGGCACCGCGTGAGTGGCACGACACACTGAGGACTACGCTTGCGGCTCTTGGGTTTGCTCCCTCTACTGCTGACCCGTCGTTGTTTCTGCGCACCGACACTTCTCTGCCGCCGTTCTACGTCCTCGTGTACGTCGACGACTTGGTCTTTGCCACAGCTGACACTGCTGGACTAGCCTACGTGAAGTCCGAGCTGCAGAAGAGACACACGTGCACAGACCTCGGTGAACTGCGCAGCTACCTTGGCTTGCAGATCACTCGGGACAGAGCACGCCGCACCATTACCTTGACTCAGTCACACATGGTGCAGCAGGTCCTTCAACGCTTCGGCTTCACGTACTCCTCGCCTCAGGCCACTCCTCTGTCTACTCGCCACTCGCTCTCAGCTCTGCCTTCGGATGAGTCCGTAGAGTCGAGTGGCCCGTACCCAGAGCTTGTTGGCTGCCTCATGTACCTGATGACCTGCACACGACCTGACCTTGCATACCCTCTTAGCATTCTTTCACGCTATGTTGCTCCTGGGAGACACCGACCAGAGCACATGGCTGCAGCGAAGAGGGTGTTGCGCTACTTGTGCAGTACGTCGGGCATGGGGCTAGTGCTTGGAGGGCGGAGTCCAGTGGTCCTCACTGGGCACGCGGACGCTTCTTGGGCAGACGACCAGGCTACACAGCGGTCGTCGCAGGGTTACACCTTCAGTCTTGGTTCCGGCTCTGTCTCGTGGCGGGCTACTCGCTCGTCCTCTGTTCTCAGCTCCAGTTGTGAGGCTGAGATCTACGCCGGGGCCATGGCTGCACAGGAGCTTCGTTGGCTCACCTACCTGCTGACTGACCTTGGAGAGCCGCCTCGTTCTCCTCCAGTGTTGTACGTAGACAACAAGGCCATGCTGGCCTTGTGTCGAGAGCAGCGCTTGGAGCACAGAACGAAGCACATTGCTCTCCGTTACTTTCTTGCTCGTGAGCTGCAGCAGCGTGGTCAGTTGCGACTTGCGTACGTGGCCTCTGAGGCCAACACTGCTGATGTGTTCACCAAGGCACTTGCGCCTTGTGACCATCAGCGCTTCTGCACCCAGCTGGGTCTTGTACCTGTCTTGCCTCACTTGCTCTCTTCTTGACCTTGCTTGTACTGTCACATATATATTCCTGCTCTTGCTTGTCTAGCTCTATATATATATGTGTACTCCTGCATGTGAACTGGCCCTGTTGCCCTGTCGTTGTGCTCGGACTGTGTGGTGACTTTGTGATCCACCCTGAGCTTGCTCTGCTTTGCTTGACTGGTCTTGTGACCCCTTGTTCTCCCCCACTTTGCCTATGGGGGTGTGTCAGAACATATATATATAGCTTATGCTGTTGTGTAGGCTATAGTGGGGTATCCCATAGGGGGTACAACCCAATTAGGGTTTCCCATATGTACTCACTTCATTCATAGTTCATTCATTCTCGTTCTACTTTTCTCAGTGACAATGTCACACGCCTCCCACTTATACTCGGCGAGTTCTCCGCGCGTCCACCACGGGTCCCGGGTGAGTGAAATAGCCGCCCATCTGATGTTTGGGGTCTTCATGCGTGGCCCTGCCATCCCAATGCCCATATTGTGCAGGATAACCACACAACTGGCGCCGGCGAGAACCCGCCAGAGCGCACAATCGTGACGGCCGGCGAACAGCCGGTACCGGCCCTTGAACTGGCCGATCGTGCGCTCCACGGACATGCGGGTTGCAGATTGGCAGTAGTTGAATGTCTGCTGCCACTCGAGCATGAGGCGGCCAGTCGGAGCGTGCAATGGCGTGAGGCAATAGTCGCTGAGGGGATAAGCTGCATCGCCGACTAGCTGGTATGGGGCGATGTCACCATTTTCCAGTCGTTTGTAGAGGTTGGATTGTATGAACACCCGCTGGTCATGAGCTGTGCCCGGAAAGCCTATCAAATAATCCCAGATAATTCCTCTAGCGTCGCATGTTACTTGCAGCTGTACGGCATACTGTGATTTGCGCGTATAATACTCCGACCGATGCCCTTCCATTCCCCGGATCTGGACATGGGTGCCATCAATGGCACCAATAACCGCTGGAACACCTTTGATGCTTTTAAATTCCTCCGCCATGACCCGCATCTCGTCTTGCGTTGGAAATCGGACCCAGGCCTTCTTAAAAACGCGCGGGAAATTCTGCAAAAACAAATCAACAAGCCTATGACATAGCGTTTTAGGGACCCCGAACCAGAAAGCAAGATCGATGTACGCCATGGCGCTCGCAAAGTATTTTATTGGGATCAGAATAGCTACTCGGATAGGCAGTGCGTGCCTATGTATGACTGGGTGCAATACATGGTGCATTCCCTCGCATATGTGGTCTAATATGGCCCGGTTTATGCGGAACAGGTCAGTAAACGTCTCGTCCGACATCGATGCCATCTCATCCTCCCACACGTCTAGTCTCCGCCGCCGTAGTTGGCGGTTCCGCGTGCGCAGGTCACTTCGGGACTCTACACATGTCTCTTCCTGCTCCGCGGCGTCGATGTGCTCTAGCAGTTGAATGCAGGCCTTCGTGGCACAGTCTAAGAAGGAGCTGAAGTAAAACGCATGCCATACTATTAGCAGGCGTGGGAGGAACGGAACATCGGTCATAGTGCCTCCCCGGTCTAATCTACGCGTGCTAGATTCCCGGAGTTGTTATTTCTTTTGATGGTTTGTGCGTGCTTTTATCTGTGAACGATTGTTGCTTGGTTGAGACTACGTGGGTTGTTGGGTTTGTATTTTGTGCAATGCGTTTTACGCTGATGTGGCAATGTCGCATATTGAACGGATCGCGGTTCTCATGGGACGTCACAATTTGATGCCCACGGTTTCGCGGCACTGTGCCACATCATCCAACTTTCAAGTTCGCACACAACTGCAAACCGGCAAGTTTATCTGACAAGAGGTTTCTCGCTCCAGCCGAATTACAGGTGAATTTAGCGAGGCTGATAAGAGGCGGCCCTGATAAGGGGCCGTAGGAACATGCCCTTAACTAACATCTAGTGCATGCTTTGGAATACTTGCGCTTTACACTCACGAGGCTAGATGGGAGGAACAATCAGACATGGCTAGATGGAATGAGTCAGAAACATCAGTATTTACCACTGCCAACTAGAAGCATCCAGTACATACAGTATGTTCACCAGAACTTTCTCCAGTGACAGACAATCGAATCAACCATCCATGCATCCATCATCCAACCGCCATGCCATCACGCCGACCAGAACGAAGGATCTAAAAGCTCTCACTCAGAACAGCAACGCACCAGTCACCTTCCACATGCAGCTACCGGTATCCATCGCCACCACAACCACACCAACCTCCCATCCAAACTCCTCCCCTCCCCATGACATCCCCACTCCCTCTCCCTCGCCCCTCGCCCGTCGCTCAATCCGTCCCTCACCCCTCCTCACCCCTCACCACCACCGCCACCCCTCTGCACCACTCTACTTGCGCCACCAGAGAGAGACGTCGCGGCGGCGGTGGATCTTCTTCTGCAGCTGCAGCAGCCCGTACAGCAGCGCCTCGGCAGTGGGCGGGCAGCCGGGCACGTAGATGTCGACGGGCACGATGCGATCGCAGCCGCGCACCACGGAGTACGAGTAGTGGTAGTACCCACCGCCGTTGGCACAGCTCCCCATGGACACCACCCACCGCGGCTCCGGCATCTGATCGTACACCCTGGGGGAGGGGGGGGGAAGGGGGAGATGATGGGGAGATGAGGGGGAGATGAAGGCGGGAGGAGGGGGGAAAGGAAGGGGATGATGGGAACTATTGAGTCGACTCGAAAGTCGCCACCATTGGCGCATCCCCATGGTCACCACCCACCACTGCGGCTCTGGTATCTGGTCGTACACCCTGAGGGAGGGGGAGAGGGAGGGGGAGGGGGAGGGGGGAAAGGGGGCTGTCGGGGAGAGGAGGGAGGGAGGACGGATGGGAGGTGGGGTAATGGAGGTGGAGAGGGAGGGGGTTGAGAGGGGTGGGGCGCAGGCAGGGGTGGTAGACGGTGGCGTAGGGTGGACGTATGGGCTGGGGTTGCTGGAGGGATGTGGGGGAGAACTAGATGGAGAGAAAGGTGGAAGTCGTAAAAAAGCGCAGCTGTCGCGAAATTAGCCCTCCAACCCACCCCTCTTGCAGCACGCCTCAATAGACTACCCTGATGACCTACCTCAACCCTATACAGCTCCTCACAAAACTTAACCAATCACCGCCCCGTGGCTTGATTGAAGCTCTCCTGCAGCTAATCCAGCATCCTCACTCACTCACACCCAAGCACTTCCTTCCCCCCACCCTCCTGCGCACCTCTCTCTTTGACCGTGGGGTCGCGGAGGACAAGCAGGCATCACCGCGAACCCGAGGTAAAAGAGAGCCCGCGTTGAGTGACAAGCACGGTGTCACCGTGAGGCTGCCCCTCGTGCTTATCCCCTCGACGCACTCGCGACGGATCCGTGACGGGATGCAGCGATAACGAAGATTACCGCAGTGAACAGAAGGCGGGGGGGCGAGGGCGACGCGCGAGGGGCGGAGGGCGGAGAGTGAAAGCAAGAGCGAGAAACGAAGAAGAAAAGAACCTACTTGCGGAGCGCCGGAGCCATCTTATTGGTCAGCGTCCCCGCGACGATCATGACATCCGACTGGCGCGGGCTGGGCCGGAAAATAATCCCGAAGCGATCCAGGTCGTAGCGCGCGGCGCCGGCGTGCATCATCTCGACGGCGCAGCACGCGAGGCCGAAGGTCATGGGCCACATGGAGCTGGTGCGCGCCCAGTTCATCAGATCGTCCACCTTCGCCACCACGTAATCCACCGCGGATCCGCCCGCCGCGGGCGCGGCGGCGCCGGAGGGGGAGGCGGAAGCGGAGGTGGGTGCGGAAGTGGCGATCGCGCGCGCGGATGCGGGGAGGAGGAAGGCGGTGTGGAGGGGGATGGGGAGCGCGGGGGTGTGTGCGGGGATGGGGGTGGATGCGGCGAGCGCGGGGCGGATCGGCGCGGAAGCGGTGGTCGTGCGCGCGAGTGCCTGCGCTGCCTTAGGCAGCAGCGAGCTGGCGCTTCGGTACATGATGGCGGTGACAGCGAGGATTAGTAGATGGAAGCGAGAAGCGAAGGAATCAAATCCGTGTACTCGAGTAAGGTGAAGAACGGGCAAGTGAGATGCACGGTTGTGCCACGCAGTGACGATTCGCGTAATGTAAGATTCGATCAATTCTGCCTGTGTGATCGCACACGCGGTCAGCGGAATGGAGAGAGCGGGAACTGACCAAAACGCGACGAGGCCCCTACTTATAATAAAGACGTAGGTGTGAAGCTTGAAGCCGCACCTCACCTCGCACGCGCCCGTAACACACGGAACGCAAAAGTGCTTGTCAAAATGAGACGCAAGACCTAATTTCACACGCCACCAAATCCCGAGGGGACACGTGACTTTCTAGAGCAGGGGGAGAAATGTTTCAGTGGGGGGGGTGGGGGGTGGGGAAGGGGGAAAGGGGAGGAAGAAAGGCGGGTTTGGAGAGGAAGGGGGGTGAATTTGAGGGGCCGTTTGAATGGGGAGGAAGTGGGAATAGGGCAGGGAGAGGCAGAAGGCGGAAGAACGCGCCCAGTTTCAGCATTGCGGTGGTGCTGGCGGAGGTGTGGGTGGAGTGGCGCATGGGCTTCATGCATGGAGACAGGCTCCACATGACGAGAGCCGCATGGCAAGAACCCACTCTGAGCGAAGGTATGGGCGAAAATTCTATAACAAAAAGAGAGGTAATTGTAACGCGAAGTAAGGGAATGACAATCTTAAAACCTGCTGCCCAAATTGCAGATCGTGCGCCAAGCTTGTTACAATCCCACGGGAAACTTTGCCAGGCTTTATCGCAGGTAGTTTGCAGCGGAAGTGAGATGAATGATTTTTACGAACAGTATTTGATGAAACATTACTGTGCACTCCTGACAGCAGCAATCAAAGTATGGAGTATCGAGACTGAAGACGAAAGGGCGGAAGTAACACGAAGGGTCAGACAGTTACGAAAGCATCTGGACCGTCAAGGCAGACAACATCAGGCAGCAGCAGTGGCGAGGATTCTGCCCGCACAGTTTCGTAACCGTCTGGAGTCGCACGGTTGGGTTTCGCTGCAATAAGAGAATGTACCGTACATGGCTAGCCTAGGTCGATTCAAATTCCCTTGTACTCTTATTTATATTCCTGTATTTGCACGTTTTTATCATCTCAAGCATTTAACATTCACTCTGCTATTGAGGTCAAGGGCCCACCACCACCACTCAGTCGTGTGCAAACCTTCGTGAGATGATCATAGGGACAATCAACTTCTGATCGCAACATGGTACGAGAGTGAATCGGGAATCATTCGCACTGCCACCTTCGAAATCTTCGACGAACGGGAAGTGGCGTCCGGCATATGCTCGCGCGTAAGAATGGCGAGAAGATCTGGTAGTAAGACGAATCTGGCGGCTGAAGCGCAGCCCAACCCAGCTGCAACAAGCGAGGAAACGACGACGATTGGACCGACGTCCTTGCACAACTGCTTCAGCGACTCACCAGCCTGGAGCAAGGACCCCAAACATTGCGGAATGGCGACGCGATAACTTCTTCCCAACCCTCTCAACCGGCCTCGAAAGGCCACAATACCGCTCCGCACACCTTCTCCCGCGACACAAACGGCTCAACTCCCAAAACTCCCCGTCCTAGTGAAGAAGCAATTCTCTCTGCTCAATCAATCTTTTTGAGCATGTAAAAAATAAAGACAAGTGTGTGCTTTGACGGCAGAGACTTCTATACGTGTAGCTTCGAGCTGGAGCTGCTGCTGCAAAATGCGCAGATATTCCACTATTTCTACGGGAGCTACTCGGGACCCGCTGAGGACACTGCTGACACCCAGGCGCAGTACTACAACGAGTCGTTGATGGCGTACGGCGTGCGAGTCGTTGAGTTCCGCTCAGGCGTACTGTCAAGAAGTAGAAACTTACAACATTGTTGCAGCTCACGGCTATTTTGGACGTCTAATCTGTTTACAACACGAATCTCTTGGTCGCGTCTACTTGCTAGTGTAGACTTGTCCCTCTCTTGTCTAGGTGCTTGTGTGGCTACCTTGGGTGCTTGTGTAGCTACCAGTCCAGGTGCACCTCCTGTTGAGGCGTCTCTGTCCTTCACGCTGCTGGACTCTGGCAAGTCCAAGTGCTTCTTCTGCAACCACACGACCCTCACACCACTCCTTACTCCTGTTTCGGTAGCTCTGGCTGATCCTACCTCAGGACCAGCCGTTGCGCGCAGCTCCACCACCCTCCCGTGCCCTGTGGTCCCTTCTGGTGTCCTTAGAGGTCTCCACATCCCCTCGTTCACTCGGAACTTGGTGGGTGTGGGATACCTCCAGGATAGAGGGATCATAAATACCATTCTCGTGGGAGGGAGGACTGCGGTCTGCACGGACGCCGCCACAGGTGTCTTTCTTGCTACGTTCACCAGGGAGCCTCGCTTCGGCCTCTATATTCTGCACATTGAGCGCTCCCAGGTCCCTGCGTCCCATCAGGTTGCTGTGTCCAGTCGGGTTGCGGTGTTCGGTCAGATAGCTGTGTCCGGTTTGGTTGCTGCGCCTTGCTCTTGCAGTTCACTCTCTCACCCGACAATCTTGTGGCACCACCGTCTTGGTCACCCGTCCATCCAACGCCACCGCATCATATCTAGCCAACGTCTTGTCTTAGGTCTCCCGCATGTCTTAGAGTCGCTCCCTCACTCGCCTGCGCCGCCGTGCTCACCTTACGTCGAGGGTCGGCTGCGCGCCACTCCTCACTCCTCCTCCCTTCGTCTGGCCACCACTCCCTTCCAGACCCTCCACTTGGACGTATGGGGCCCAGTCGCTCGTGCTGGGCCCGAGCGGGAGCGCTTCTTTCTCGTGGCCGTTGACGACTACTCTAGGTACACCACGGTGTTTCCTCTTGTGAAGAAGTCTGAGGTGACTTCTACGCTGATCCGGTGGCTTCTGGCCACTGAGGGCACTCGTGGTAGTCGTGTCCGTTGTCTCCGCTCCGACCGTGAGGTGAGTTCCGCTCAGGCGTACTTGCTAGTGTAGACTTGTCCCTCTCTTGTCTAGGTGCTTGTGTGGCTACCTTGGGTGCTTGTGTAGCTACCAGTCCAGGTGCACCTCCTGTTGAGGCGTCTCTGTCCTTCACGCTACTGGACTCTGGCGAGTCAAAGTGCTTCTTCCGTGACCACACGACTCTCACACCACTCCTTACTTCTGTTTCGGTAGCTATGGCTGATCCTACCTTAGGACCAGCCGTTGCGCGCAGCTCCACCACCCTCCCTTGCCCTGTGATCCTTTCTGGTGTCCTTAAAGGTCTCCACATCCCCTCGTTCACTCGGAACTTGGTGGGTGTTGGATACCTGCAGGATAGAGGGGTCACAATTACCTTTCTCTGGGGCGGGAGGACGGCGGTCTGCACAAACGCTGCCACCGATGTCTTTCTTTCTGCGTTCACCAGGGAGCCTGGCTCCGGTCTCTACGTTCACCACACTGAGCGCTCCCAGGTCCCTGCGTCCCCTCAGGTTGCTGTGTCCAGTCGGGTTGCAGTGTCCGGTCAAATATCTGTGTCCGGTTTGGTTGCTGCGCCTTGCTCTTGCGATTCACTCTCTCACCCGACAGTCTTGTGGCACCACCGTTTTGGTCACCCGTCCCTCCAACGCCACCGCATCATGGCTAGCCAACGTCTTGTCTTAAGTCTCCCGCGTGTCTTAAAGTCGCTCCCTCACTCCCCTGCGCCGCCGTGCACTCCTTACGTCAAGGGTCGGCTGCGCGCCTCTCCTCACTCCTCCTCCCTTTGTCTGGCCACCAATCCCTTCCAGACCCTCCACTTGGACGTCTGGGGCCCAGTCGCTCGTGTTGGGCCCGAGCGGGAGCGCTTCTTTCTCGTGGTCGTTGACGACTACTCCAGGTACACCACGGTGTTTCCTCTTGTGAAGAAGTCTGAGGTGACTTCTACGCTGATCCGGTGGCTTCTGGCCACTGAGGTCACTCGTGGTAGTCGTGTCCGTTGTCTCCACTCCGACCGTGGGGGTGAGTTCCGCTCAGGCGTACTTGCAAGTGTAGAATTGTCCCTCTCTATTCTATGTGCTTGTGTGGCTACCTTGGGTGCTTGTGTAGCTACCAGTCCAGGTGCACCTCCTGCTGAGGCGTCTCTGCCCTTCACGCTGGACTTTGGCGCGTCCAAGTGCTTCTTCCGCGACCACACGACTCTCACACCAATCCTTACTTCTGTTTCGGTAGCTATGGCTGATCCTACCTCAGGACCAGCCGTTGCGCGCAGCTCCACTACCCTCCCTTGCCCTGTGATCCTTTCTGGTGTCCTTAAAGGTCTCCACATCCCCTCGTTCACTCGGAACTTGGTGGGTGTGGGATACCTCCAGGATAGAGGATCACAGTTACCTTTCTCGGGGGCGGGAGGACGGAAGACGCACTTGGACTCGCCAGAGTCCAGCAGTGTGAAGGACAGAGACGCCTCAGCAGGAGGTGCACCTGGACTGGTAGCTACATAAGCACCCAAGCACGTAGACAAGGGAGGGACAAGTCTACACAAGCAAGTACGCCGGAGCATAATTCACCCCCACGGTCGTAGTGGAGACAACGGACACGACTACCACGACTGCCCTTAGTGGCCAGAAGCCACTGGATCAGCGCAGAAGTGACCTTAGACTTCTTTGCAAGAGGAAACGCCGTGGTGTACCTGGAGTAGTCGTCAACGACCACGAGAAAGAAGCGCTCCCGCTCGAGCCCAGCACGAGCGACTGGGCCCCAGACGTCCAAGTGGAGGGTCTGGAAGGGAGCGGTGGCCGGACGAAGGGAGGAGGAGTGAGGAGTGGCGCGCAGCCGACCCTCGACGCAAGGAGTGCACGGCGGCGCAGGCGAGTGAGGGAGCGACTCTAAGACGCGTGGGAGGCCTGAGACAAGACGCTGGCTAGCCATGCTGTAGAGGCGTGGGAGGGATGTTGACCAAGACGGTGGTGCCACAAGACTGTCGGGTGAGAAAGTGAACGGTAAGAGCAAGGGCAGCAACCAAACCGGACAT